GTCGAGGAGACTCCTGCTGTCGAGGAGACTCCTGCTGTCGAGGAGACTCCTGCTGTCGAGGAGACTCCTGCTGTCGAGGAGACTTCTGCTGTCGAGGAGACTCCTGCTGTCGAGGAGACTCCTGCTGTCGAGGAGACTCCTGCTGTCGAGGAGACTCCTGCTGTCGAGGAGACTCCTGCTGTCGAGGAGACTCCTGCTGTCGAGGAGGTCCCTGCTGTCGAGGAGGCCCCTGCTGTCGAGGAGACTCCTGCTGTCGAGGAGACTCCTGCTGTCGAGGAGACTCCTGCTGTCGAGGAGGCCCCCGCCGTGGAGGAGCTTCCTGCTATCGAGGAAGCCCCTGTTGTCGAAGCTGCTGCCGAAGAGACTCCCACCGTCGAAGAGACTCCTGCTGCCGAAGAGACTCCTGCTGCCGAAGAGACTCCTGCTGCCGAAGAGACTCCCGCTGTGGAGGAGACCCCCGCCGTCGAAGAGACTCCCGCCGTGGAGGAGACCCCCGCCGTCGAAGAGACTCCCGCCGTCGAAGAGACCCCCGCCGTCGAAGAGACTCCCGCTGTCGAAGAGACTCCCGCTGTCGAGACCGCTACTGTGGATGAAACCCCCGCCGTCGAAGAAACTCCCGCCGTCGAAGAAATCCCCGCCGTCGAGGAGACTCCCGCAGTCGAGGAGGCCTCCGCCGTGGAGGAGACCCCTGCTGGTGAGGAGGTTTCTGCTGTCGAGGAAGCCCCTGCTGTTGAGGAGACCCACGCCCTTCACGAGAGCGCTGCTCCAGAAGTCACCACCGAGAAGTCTCAGGAAGAGCCTAAGGAAGCCCCTGTTGTCGAAGAAACTCCCATCGAGGAGACTCTCCCCGAGGTGCCTGCAGCAATCGTCGCTGACGAGCCTAAGGAGGCACCGGTTGTTGAGGAGACCCCCATCGAGAAGACTATCGATGAGGTTGAGCCGACTGCAGCAGCTGTGGAGGAGCCGGTCACTGTGCCCGTCCAAGAGCCTGTTGAGGAGTCTGTTCCTGAGGTCGCCGAGAAGGAGGCAGTTGTTGAAGCGCCCGCCGCGGAAGACTTTATTCCTGCAGTCGTCAAGGAAGATGTTGCCCGCGTGACGGAAAGTGTTGACGAGCCTGTTGCCGCTGAGCCAACACCCGAGACTGTTGCATCCGAGTCTGCTCCCGAGTCTACTCCGGTCGAGGCGGCTGAGGAACCCCAAGTGCAGGAGGAGGAGCAACTTTCTGAACGTGTGTCTTTCGCCGAGATTGAAGGCAAGGAGGTGCAAGCTCCCATCAATGGAGTCATCAACACGCAGACGGCTGCCCAAGAGGAAGTCACCGACGCTGCTAGCGCCGTCAAGGAAGACACTCCTGTCGAGCCGGCTTCGTTGCAGTCGGAGGAAGGCAGCAGAGAAGTTGTTCCTGAAGATTCTGTCGCTTCTGAACCTGTTGCGGAGGCTGCTACGGAGCAAGAGTTCCCCAAGGACAGTCTTCTGACACCTGAGATTATTGCCGCCGGCGCTGCCGCCGCCGTTGCTGCCGGAACTGCTGCTGCCGTTGGAGCCGCTTCGGTCTCCCACAAGGAGGCTGAGGCTGCTGCACCTGCTGAGACCAAATCACAGGAACCCCAGCCCGAGAACAAGGACAAGGCCGTCAATGTTGTGCCTGGAACTTGGCCCACTGAGGGTAAGAGCTCTCCGGCCACGAGTAAGCAGCTCGGAACTGACCCTGATGCAGCCCACGCCGGTGACGACGCCGCCAAATCGACCCGCCAGCCCACCGCCGAATCGTCATCGAACGCTGCCGACAAGGCCGTGGCCACCAAGGGAGATGAGAACCCTCGCTCACAGAGTCAAAATCGGTCAGTCACCGCTGTTTCTCTGAATCATAAGAAGCATGACAGCTGGTTGAAGACTATCTTACGCGCTGTGTTTACCAATTTCTTTGGAGCAATCTTTTCTCCCTTCCGCCGTCGCGGAGGGAACAACCAATAGATGTGTCTCCTGGAGATGCTGATTTCAATGAAGCCCTTTCCTTGGGAAGAGTGGAGATTTGTCCAGAGTTTTGCTGCTTACGTTTGTTTATTGCCAACGCTAATGTGAATCAGGAGTCTGTTCTTGATGACCGTTTTTGCTGCCCCCTTGCTCGCATTTGTTTGGCACGCATATACCCGCTGAGTTGTTCGAACTTTTTGATGCGAACCTGCGCCGCTCATTTTTATTACTCGAATCGATTCCCCTGTATTTGATATCTTCGATGGTTTTCTAGGACGAGTATGTTTATCGCTAGTGTTATTTTACTCTGCTCAAGATTGTTCGAGTGTTTTATTTGAAGTGTTTTAATGGTGAGGGCAAGACTGCTGTCTTTTCCGTGGCAGTGCAGTTGCAGTTTACAGTTTACAGTTTTGCGGTTTGTGCACAGTTCAGACGCAGATTATTGTTTACCCCATAGCATATAATGATGTCCTATGATTGATGATAATGAGATTACTGGTTCAATTAATTGTTTGTCTTGGTGTCTCTTGTTTATCATAGAATTATACATTGATTACACTGGGAACTTGATTCGATCACAACCACAGTAGCCCTATGATGGTTGATCACGCCTTAACCTTCTTAGTTCTGCATCACCGGTATCGAGTAGCAGAAAGGTGTGTAGTTGGCGGATTAGGGCTTCTGATCACCCTCGTATCTTCCGATCAGCACGAATGGATTCCAATGTCCCAGCACTAATATGCAACGTCTCCATTGGGTGCTCTAGGGACGTAGAATCTGCACATCTCGGCTCATATGCGCATTACCTCTTGTAACGCACTGGAAGTACGGGATTCGATACCGATTGCGACGGGAACGGACCCCTTTCATCCGTCTAGCTATAAGGAAGCCGAGGAGGATGAAACAAGTTGACAAGATATCAAACCGGCTCGATGGTTTCTTGGGTCGGGATTTTGACTCGGAGAACTTCTTCTTTTGATTCGGGCTTCTGTTCGGTTGTTGGTGCGCTAGTGTAGGCATGCATCGCTAGCTATGTTCAATTCTTAGGGAGTAACCCTCCCTCTCGCCACGAATTTCTCAACTTTTCATAAATTGCAAACAACGTTTCAACACCAAAGGCACAAAATAAATCGCTTAATAGAATTCTAGATAGAATCGTTAAGAAGTATGCAATACGAAATGCAGTCACCTCAAGCTCCGGTCAAAGAGTTTTTGTTTTTTGTTGAATTGTGAAATTCGTTACGAGCTGTGAGTTGAGATTCGCGGCGAGGGAGGATATGCTGGGCTGGGCTGGGCTGGGCTGGGCTGGGGTCTGGCTGGTAGTTCGAGTTGGGATGTTTGGGGCGGAATGGATTGATGGAATTTGCAAGTATGGTTGGTGGTGGAGTGGTAGTACTACTAGGAGAAGAAAGAGTAATAGCAACAGCACCAGCACCAGCACCAGCACCAGCACCAGCACCAGCACCAGCAAATAGCGAGTGTAGCACTGTTCGCCTCCGATCGCGACCAAGTAAAGCAACTAAGCAAGTAACTCCCCCACCCAGCTGGCAGATCGAAAAGAGAGGGCATGCATGCATGTATGTGTGTATGTATGGTCGCCGGGGAGGGTTTCTTCTATTCAGATCCGGGGTGCTTGAAACTTGAACCCCAAGGATCCATCACAATGCTCATAGCAGGGGTGGGTCTTGGGTATCCCCAGATAGATGGGATTCATAATATCTGGCAATATGGGAAGGTTCGGCTTACACGATTCCGAGGTATCAAGGATGGCACAGTACTTCCAGTTTAGAGCTCGATGGGGCTGACTTTTCTCTGAAATCTGGATGTCAAACTGAAGGGAGAGGGAGATGGGGCTGTAATTCTTGGGAGGGACTGGGTTTGGTTTCGGTTATAGCGGGACTGTCCTATCCTGAATTCCTTGAGTGTTCAATAGCTATGACTAGAAGAGCATCACTAGGTAGGCTAGGCTTTGGTGTCTTTCGAGCCGAATTACGAGGCGAAGGAGGTTATCGACGATTGATTCAACACTTGTATATTTGTTCATTAGATCCGAACATCGGTCTTGCGACATCATATGACGCACAACGTGAGATTGAAAAACAGGCAGACAGGCAGGTCAACCAGGACCCCGCTCACCCGAGAATAGATTTGATCCTCGATATGCTTAAAGGCGAAAGTAGAATAAGTAAATAGATACAAATAAATCACACGAATCGAAAGTAGAAGGTACACCCCCGCTGATGCACCAGGTTGAAAGTGGGCGCTGTGAAAGGCCAGACACCAAAAGGGGATAAAGAAAAGAAGGAAGAGACCTGTTCGCCTAGCTAATGCAAACGCAAATCAAGACATCCGGGGAATGAACCGAGGCAAAAATGCTCGCTGCGAACAAAACCACTTTTCGTATGCACCTTACCTGTCTCTTTCATGACGAGACAAACCGAATCCAACATGCAAGAAACCCGGGTAATGAACGGCCAACGCCAGTGCTAGTGAACAGAGCAGATAATCAAGGGGGGGAAAAGAGGTGGGAAGGCGGGAGTGGGATGTCGAGGGTATGAGATGAAGGAATGTGATTTTTGCGAAGTTTAACGTCTTCCAAGTCCGCGCAGAGCAATGCGTCGGCTGGAGCCGGCGGTTCCCAGATCGCTGATACTCCGTGATTTCGAGATCACGGGAGGAGGGGGCGCCTTTTCGGGAGCGGGCTCCGGCTCCTGCGGCGCGAGGCCGTAGGTGTAAGGCCGCAGGGACGAGCTCCTTCGAGCTTGTCCGAGTACGTCTTCCACCCATGCCTCGCTCTCGGCGCTAATCGAGACGTGTCTGGGACGCGGCCCTGCGAGACCGAGAGGGACCGCGTGGTTGGCACTGCCCGCGGCGGTATTCGTGGGCGAATACGAAGACCCATGCCGGAACTCGCTTGCCGAGGACGCGCCCATCGAGGCGTTGGACGACGTTGACAGTCGACGGCGCGAGGAGACGGTTGACATGGGTGAATACGAAGTGCTCAGCGTGTCGCCAGGGTTGCATGTGCGGAACTCGGTCATATCCGACACGTTAGAGGTCCGCCGGGTTTTGCGAACGGCCAAAGATGACCCTGGCCGATTACTGATGACGGAGGGCGGTCGTGACGGGGTTCTCCGTCCGCTGGCAGTGGGTGCCAATCTATTTCTAGGTGGAGACGGGGGCGAGGTGCGGGAAAGCCCCTGCACCTCTACCAGAGGCGTGTCCGAAACATGTCGGCGTCCGTGATGGACGGCGAATTCTCTCAGGTACTCTGCGAGATCTGCCCACCCACCACCAACGCGAACCATGACGCGCTCGCCGGTCTCGCCCACTGACCGGACGAACAACTTGGTGGGGGCAGACTTGCCACCTCGGTGCAGATGGTAGAGCTTCACGGAACTCTCTTCTGGAGCGTGCGCATGGGAATAGCGCCGGCGGGAAACGGCGGGAGTGATAGTCAACGATGGAGTAGGTGTGCTACTACGAGCTGGCGAGCCGTGAGGAGAGACAGAGCGAAAGCGCTCCCTTTGTTTCAATGGGTAAGATGATGTCGAATGCCCATCGTGCTCATGGGTGTCCGCGGACACTAGGTGAATCTGCGCATCGAGGGCAGTTAGGATAGAGGAAATCTTTTCGTCCAAATGGTCCTTGGGCTTTCTCATCTGCGGGGTTGGGGATGAGATCCGCGACGTGGTCTTGAGGAAGGCTGGGATGGATGAAGACTCATCGTTAGATCGAGCCTCCGATCGGTATGCTCCGATGCTCTCGAGACTAGGATGTGAAGTCAATTGTCTCTTCAGACGCATCGTGGACGAATTTTCCAAGGGCGCTGCCGGAACCTTCTGGACTGATGCTGTTGAGCTAGCGATCTTAGTATGCTCCCAAGCTTCACGCAGCGTCTTTGCGATGCCATCTGTCCCCTGGTTGAAGTTCCCTTCACGAGTGACCTCGGGTGACTGAGTGGCAGAACGTCGCGTGTTTTTGGTCGAGGTCGAAGATTTACCAGCTTGAGGCGGTAAAGAGGATGTCCTTGGGCCAGAGTGAAGGCTGGGAAACACTTCTGTGCGTCTTTCGGTTGTTGCAGTGCCTTCAGGTTCCCTGCTGCTCTCGTCTCCAAAGGTTAACTCTAACCTCTCACTGATGAAGCGCTGTAAGGGAAGGCTGAGGTTTCGGTTGTGAGCGAAATCCGTATGCGGAGAAGCCTTCTGACTGTCAAGGCGGAAGAGGCGGTCTTCTCGCAACGTATGGTCGCTGCCAGGCGCTACAGGATCAGATGGCTGGTAGCCGGCCTGGAAGGGTGGGGGAGTTTCGAGGAGCAAAGGAGTTCCGTTAGATGAGGATCCGTGCGGTTCACGCCTCTCGGGGCTTGAAACAAGCGAAGGATAGTCCGAGAGAGAAGAAGCAATCGACCTGCGCCTGTGGCGAGAGTCTGCGTGTTCTGTCTCGAAGATCAAAGGACCCGGTCGAGTGTTGGACAATTTGATCGGACTTTCGAGAGGCTTTTTGGGAGTCGGGTCGTCTGTCGCTTCCTTCAACATCAGAGAAGAAGTTCGGACTGGGAGCTCTTCGTCGCTGCGTGCAACTACCGACTTTGCTGAAGTTCTGGGGGAATCAGAGCTGAAGGCGGGAATCGAGCTTGTACAACTGGGTGGCTTTGTTGTCGGGACCTCGGAGTCATTCTGGCTAGTCCGTTTGGCTAATGCGGGTTTTTCATCTAGATTCGATGAAGTCGGTAGATTTTCACAGTGTTGTTGAACGTAGGGTTCCAAATTCGTGGTGTGCGAAGAGTCCTCTTCAGTTCTGGGGCTGTCTACCACTTGGGGGGACATGGACAAATTCTTGGGCCGCCGTATGATTACGCTTCCGGTGTCTGTCTGCGGGCTGCTCGGTGGCTGCAGGCTATCTTCTGGAAGAGTCAGACTAGGAGATTTGTGCGTAGGGCATGGAAGGCCAATCTCTTCTGCGGCCGGAGGCATATCTTGTTCACTGGTTGGTAGAAAATCCTCCGGTTCCTCTGAGACGCGCTCGGTTCCCTTTGCGTATGAAGGGATTCCTTGGACCGAAGGAACCTCCTCGCAGGCTAGAGGCTTTTGCCCTTCCATAGCAGGATTGGTCGGCTGTACGTCGAGACAACCAGATGTATCTTGCGCGCGGTTTGCTTGATTATGAGGCATTGCGTTGGCAAGAAGGCTCTCGGAGTGTTGCAAGCGGGGTTTCTCAACCGAGCTCACCATGGCATGGGAGGAAGGTAGTTGTGTACCAAACGGATGAGCATCCTCCTCCTGTTCGACACTGGTCGCAGAAGAGGCAAGTGTGACAGGACGAGATGTTGAATCAATGGAAGTTTGGGAGACGTTGGGAGTCGCATTGCTAGAAACAAGCTCAGTAGGGATGTTGGTCGCTTCGGAAAGCGCAGGGGAAGCCGTGCGATCCAGGCTCGAGGGAGCCGCTTCGATAACCGATTGCACACTCGTATCTTCCTGGCAAGTCGGTACTCGATTAGGAGGCGCGGCCTCGACAGGAGTATTGAGTTCTTCTTCGTCGATAGTCTCCATAGGAAAAGTGTGACATGTCTGCACAACGGGAGCAGGCGAGTTTTGAGAGTGGTCCTCGTTGCGAGAAGAATCAGTCGACGATTGTTCAGACACGTCCTTTTCTATGTCGAGATTGGCGCTGGTCTTCGAAAGAAATGTCATGCGCTGCCACTCGTTCTCAACGGTGCGTTGTTCTGCTTGCATGGTCCAAGAGCCAAACTCTGACTCGATACCTTCGAGGTCATCGATCCAGCTGTCGGGAATAGAATCTTCACTCTCGTCCAAAGCGTCAAGCACACAATCCAATCTTCGACCAGCAGACACAACCGTGGCTTCCAAGTGGGAGCGCTTTGCATGATAGTTGGACCGGGAAAACAACGGGTCCTTCTCGCTAGGAGGATCGGAAGACTTTAAGAGGTCCAAGGCAGCCTCCAACTCAGAGCGGGCGAGGCGCAAGCTGCGAAGCAAGACGGGAATCTGTCGCAGAACCAACAGACGAACTTCCCAAATCGAGAGCAAGCTCGTTAGGCGCGATAAAAGAGGCAGGGCCCGGAGAATAGTGGCGGTGATGACGGCAGTGAAATCGCTCAATTGGACGTAAGACAGTTGAGGAGGGATGGATAAGCTACTGTTAGCCGAAGAGGGCCGAGACCGGGCCGGGATGTGGGCATTGAGAACGTGCTCCTTGAGCTCGTCCATATCCAGCAGGTCCATTTCATCTCGGATTTCCTCAATGCGCTTCTCGTGTTCCTCTACCATGGCGGCAGGCAGGCTACCGTAGTATTCCTCGTCAGTCGCATCGGACGGGGGGATGAAGCCCAATCCTTTCTCATCACCGGTCTGTTTCGGCCAATTCCATGACTGGATTTCCTTGTACCACAAATTCAACTTTTGAGCGACAACTGCTGCGCGAATTGCGAGGGCTCTTTCCGCTGGGGAAACCTGAGCGATACTTCTGGACAGGATATCATGGGCGACTCGTTCGTTCTTGGGGACGGCATTGGTGGAAGTGAGCGCTTGGAGAGTCGACTCGGGTGATAGACTCCCGAGGAGGGGATCGCTGTGTTCATAATCGGGGATCGGTCGGTCCGGAGATCGAGATCGCGGTGGGTTGCGGTGGTAGATGGGCGAGGGAAGGGGAGCGACGCGACTACTGGCCATGTCGGAAGAGAGCGGCAGTCGCCGGGAGAGGACCAGATCGGAGTTGTCGCAAAAGATCAGTAGTGAGGTTTAAGTGATGGAGGTCGGGTCGCAATGTCGAAGGTCGAAGAGAGAGAATATAGCTGAAGAGCAAGCATGCTGACGCGATCCCGCCAAAGTCTATAGAAGAGGAGGGGAAGGAGGTCGAGTTTTTGGTTCGAGGTTCGAGATGAGTCGAGATGTCGTAATAGACGGGCGGATGCGGAAGTGAAATGAAGGAAGTAAAGTCCGGATCAGGCCGACGCTGTTAAATAATGCACCCAATGGTGGAAAGAATGTATGAGGGCCAGAGGAAAGGTTAAGATCGGGCGGAAATTAATGAAGAGGTGCAAGAGGGGAGAGTGAGATCTGGGGCGAGAGAGAGAGAGAGGCAGAGAGAGGCAGAGAGAAGCAGAGCTATGGGATGATGCTTAGTGATAGTGATGGTGGTTAATGGTGATAGATCACACTGCAGGGCCCAAAAACAGGCTTAGAGGGAAGTTAGGGAGAGTTGGGCGGCTGCAGGAAGCACAATGATAAAGCGAGAGTGGGATGATGATGATGATGATCGATCTCAGGAGACCAGCTCTTGACTCAAGAGAATGACTGGAGTGGCAACGATGATTCGAAGATCGGGGAGAGGGGCGAGTTATGCAGTGGTGAGTTGGTTAGAATGAGTGTTGGCCTGGGGTGGAACGGGGGGGAAAAGAGAGAACGGAGTCTCGCGCGCGGTTGGAGAGAGGAAGCTCGTCAATTAGTGAGTTACCTAGTAGTTAGTGAGTTTACTCCGTAATGAGCTAGTCTTAGCTGGCCGCGCGACACACGGGAATGCTGGGAGTGGAGCCGCGTCAGGATTAATAGGGGCAAAAATAATGGTCCATAACTTAAGAGAGTAGAGAGAGTACTTATTCTCGTGAATTCCGATGCTGCCACTGCCACTGCCACTGCCACTCTCCCACTCAACTCCCATTTACTCAGGCATGAATCTGCCCTATTATTACTAATGTAATTAAAAATATCTCGTCCAGAAAAGCCCTAGACTCGCCGTAGAAAACAGCTCCATTCTTAATCTTTGTGTGTCTAGGGTCTAACTACAGTACAGCATCTACTTCTCCATACTGTTTCTCCTTTCCTCCACTCCGACCTCCTCCATTTAAACAAAACATCCCCCCTTTTTCTCATGTCGGATAGGATCTGTCAACAACAAATGCACACCATCCTGTACGACATACAGTCTCCGGCACTCCGTAAATTTCCTGTACAATCAACATGACTGCTGTCTCTGGCACACGAGACCCATCTCCATGCAGTAAGCAGTAATCCACCTTCGGAACCTGGCGGACAAGACTGTCTCATTCCCCTTTCCGGAGCCCTCCCAATACATGGAAGCCTGTGCACAATTCGTATGAAGTGCAATCAAAGGTGGCTGTGCGAGGTAATGTCGCTTCCGCGATGTGTTCCGGCTGTCCACAAGCTGCCCTTGTCGGCTCTCTCGGACCACTTGGGGTTGAAGAACATTCGGAGAGTAGATCGGTGATCGACACCCCCTTGCATATCATATCTCATATCTGCGACCGTTCTAGCTCTTTTGCCTTTATGGAAGTCTCTTGAGTGCCTTTGACTGTTATCAATGGACTGCATTGGAGATTACTTCGACATCTCTTGCATGTCCATCAAAACTCTACCGTGTTTGCGACCAGAGAAGTGTTATGATCAATAGCCCGAGTAGGCAATTGCGGGCTTCCGATCAGCAAGGCTGCGCTTGCTATGGGAGTATCTTCGCAAAGAAGGGCACTAGTTGGCTCTGAAAAGTTAATGAACGGGTAGGATGATATTAGAAACTCCCAGACTGCAGGACAGTAAAAAGGATTCGTCGCGACAAGGCGTAAGCTTGCTTTTCTCGACCTTCAGACCAGGGATCGTGAACCCTTGATGAAAGGGATACTCAATCGAGATGTCCTCCCTTTCGCGAAGGAGTGCAGGAAGGGTACATCCGGTACGGTATCCCTGGAGTATACCAGTAAGGTCGAGTACCTCTGGAAGTCGAGAAACTAAGGTCTGTAAGGGAAGTAGCAAGGAACCCCGGCCTAGAAAAAAGCATAGAGCTTCTCGTCCCATATGATGAACAGAGCCATTGTGCCATTGTGCCGCCAGCCACGTGGGTGGTATCTCCCGGAATCCCAATGAGGAGTAGGGATGTATCATGTTGTGTCATTGAGGAACTTGCAAGGCGCCACGCCACGTCCTAGCCGAACAGCTGGCTAGAAGGATCGAAGTAAGTGGCGGTCGCCGCTGGTCGCCGCTGGTCGGCCGCTGTGATAGGCCAAATAGCCATCGATTCTATTTTCATCAAGCAATAACCAAGTAGAAAGCGACACGTTGATTCAAGGAAGTCTGTAACATGTTTCAGAAGGCGCGGGAATAATGAGAAGGAAGAATGAAGGCTGTCCATGTCATACTGTGAATCTGTAGCTAAAGTTACTGGACGCTAACAATAGATGATCCGTTGGATTTGCGCTGTTTGCTCCTCGCGGATCCCCCACACCGGCCGGCCGAGCTTCACCATCAAGCTATCAACCACCATAACATCATCGCATTCATCCACTACCTTGCGCTCAACATCAATTGTTTGGGTGCCTACACAATAAACCCACCTGCTATTCAGAAACATGCAATAATACACCATGCGTTTTCGAACGAAACTCACCAACGCGGAGACTTTCTCCAGTACGTTAATTGCCTCTTGTCGCGTGCTGCTCCATCTACCGCGTTTTGGCGTTTCGGGTGGTAGCCTTAAAGCTCTGAAGGCCTAGACCAAACCACCAACAAGTCACCGTTCGCAATGACCGAGTTTACATAACTAACACCACGTACCAACTCCACAGAGCTAACCGCCTCCCTCTCATCGCTGGGCAAGACCTGCTGGATGCGCCTAGAGCCAGGCAGCATCCGCTTCACCATCATCCCCGACCAAGGCACCCAAGTATGGGCACAATTACCAATTGTACGCCCCCCGAACCAAGCAACCACTCACGAACCACCCACCACCACCAAATCGAGCCGTTGCTATGTTCAAACTCATCTCCAGAAAACAACCAAACTAACAAGGACCTCTCCAGGATGCCATCTTCGACGAATCAAGCTACATCCTCGAATCCAACTCAGGCGGAATCATCAACCTAGAAGTGCCGATCGGCGCCCTCCACCGGGCGCTCCGCTCCGCCGTCGACGCCAAATCCGCCCAACTCCGCCTCACCCAGAAGGGCCGCATCCCGCTCCTGGCACTGACCATCCGCACGCTTTCCTGGGCGCCCGGATCCAACGCACTGGGCGTCATCACCACCGCACCTGGAACCGGAACTGGTCCGGGCAGCGGTAGTAGCAGCAGCAATGACCCTCATACTATCACCAACGGGCCGACCCACGCGCCCGCCTCATCAACCACGACTGACACCCCCAACGGCCCCTCCCGCCCCGGCCGCGAACGCGAAACCGTGATCACGCAAGAAATCCCTGTGAAGGTCTTCCACGAGTCCGCCGTCGAGGGCCTCCACGAACCCCGCTGCCGCGAGCCGGACGTGCACATCATCCTTCCGAGCCTCGGCCAACTGAAGAGCATCTCCGAGCGGTTCACCAAGCTCGCCTCCCCAGGCCACGGGTTTGCGTCCGCGTCCGCCGCGTCGGATGCCGCCACGAAACCCACCGCGACGGGCGCGTCGGCCGCCGCCCCGAAACTCGAGCTGTCCGCCAACATGCACGGCTCCCTCCGGCTGGCGATCGCCACGGACGCCCTGCGCATCTCGAGCGTGTGGACCGACCTCGTCAACCCCTCGGTGGACCCGGGCCAGCTGTCCCAGGGCGAGATCGAGCGGTTGCCGAGTGAGCGGATGCGGGCGGTGCCCGGGGATGACGAGGCCGGGTGGGCGCGCGTGCGGATCGATGGGCGCGACTGGGGGAAAGTGTTGAGCGTCGGGAGGTTGAGTCCGAGGGTGGTTGCTTGTGCGTTTTACCCCTCCCCCTTTTTCTTTTCTGTTCTTTCCTCTCCTCTCCTCCCTGCCCCTCCTCCCACTGATACAGTAAAAGAGGCTGGATTACGCTTCGTGCTAATGGTTATGTACTAGCTTTCGTTCACGAGACGGCCTTGATTCTCTATGTCTACCTTCCTGGGACATTCAATGAAGAGGACTCGTGTCTTACGGTAAGGATGCTGAAAACCAGACAACTACCGGCACTAACACGTCGCTAATCATTCATATGGTCTCTAGTACTACATCAACTCATATGCGGCTTGATTTTCCCATGATCCGGCACGCACGGATCTATCTCACGACATTCTTGCTTCACGAATTTCCTTCTGAAATCTTTATATCACTCCCTAGTTATACCTGCTCTGTACCATAAAGCCTATCCTTGGTCCCTACGCATATAGATCGGTCGGTTGAAGTGCACGATTTCCAAATCCCATGCTAGAATCCATGTTGCATTGACAGCAACGAACATCTCCCAGAAAAATACTAGGCATATTCTCAGGACAACCATCATCCTCAATACGCATAGCTAAGGTGAAGCGATGTATTGAACATCCTCATAGTAAAAAAACAGAAATTCAATATGTGCACACATGTAATTTACACGAGAATTAACCAGTCATGCAAAGGATAGGCCGCCGGGCCAAGAATGGAAAGCCCGATTTTGAAAGGAGTAAGGTTAGACGGCATGCAACGCTGTTTGCTGAGCGAACGTCAAATCAAACTGATGAACTCTCCCTGACGCAGCCAGGACACGCCCCCAATGACATGTAATATAAAGCTGGGGGTTCCGACATAGAGGAATCGTTAGACATTATAGGAAAATATAGGGAAAAAAAGAGGTATTAAGGGTACATCATATAGACCACTAACGTCCGCATCCCGAGTGGAATGGGAGGAAGAAGGGGGTAGGTCGATCATTTTGCCATGACATCGACATAACGTCCCTTCTTTTTGCCCTTAGCGGCAGGGCCTTTGCGTGCCTGCGGCGCTCCGAGGAGGTCATCGATGGAGCTGGCATTGCTCAATGACGTCGCCGGCCGGGGAGGCGCGGCGAGACCAGCGCTCGGCGGTGTGGGTAGTGCAGCGCCCGTCGAGATGGACCGCGGGATTGGAGGCGCAGCGCCTAGAGCGGATGGCGGGGCGGGGCTGCCGGAAAGGGGCGGAGGGGCACCTGCAGCAGATGGAGGGCGGCTTCCGGCCCCGGACAGCATCGGAGATGCAGTTGTTGCAGGTGGTGGCGGCGCGCCACTGGTGCCGCTGGCTGTCCGGCTGGGAGGCCCGGATCCACGTGGGGGTGGTGGCGTGGCACGGGCTGCAGTTGCGCTGTTCGGATCTTTCTTGTTGACCCATTTCTTCAACTCAGTATCGTAGTAGAAGGAACTCTCTTCGCCAAGCTTGGCTCGAATCGGGCCACCGCCGGGATTCTCGCCTTCTTTCTTCCCACCGAACCAGCCACCAAACCATCCCTTCTTAGCGGGGGCACCTCGTTTGGCTAAGTCAACAAGGTTAGTCTAGCGAAGGAAAAGAGATATCGAGCTGTATTGTCACTTACCATCAGCCTCTGCGGCCTTTCGGAAGGCTTCATCTGCTTCGCGGTCCTTGCGTGCCTTTTCCGCTTTCTGGACTGCAGCGGCCCGAGCAGCTAGATCATCGTCATCATCGTCTTCCATGAATGACTTCTTCTTCTTAGCCGGCTCTTCGTTGTCTTCTTCCTCGAGCATTTCCGACTCGGGTGCGGCGTTGGACTCTGCGGGAGGCTCATAGCCGCCACCGCCCATAGGAGGCATATAGCCACCCTCATCTGCCTGAGAGACGGCGGAAGGAGTCTCATGAAGCAGCTGGCCAAAGGATCCATATCCAGGAGGTTGGTAGGGCGAGACCATATTAGGGGACCCAGGTCCTGGAACAAACGGAGCCTTAGCCTGGGGCTGAGAGACTAAATCTTCCTCGACCGGTGCCAGAGGCATATACGACGTTTGAGGAGGTGTTTGCTGATAGCCTGCGTTTGATGGCGGAGAGTTATAGAACATTCCCCCTTGATATGGGCCATTGTCAACCGGTGTCGAAGGGTCCTGCGAGCCCCGGCGCTGTGCAAGACCAAAATTGTAAGAAGAAGATCTCTGAGAGTCAAGAGACGATCTGCCGCGGAATTGCTCGGGTGAGGAGGTAGGGGCGTATTGGTTGTTTGGTAAATAACGTGAAGGAACAGCGCCATGACTCGGTTGCCCTCCGTAAATGTCTGACACGGAAGGCGAGCGACTCACAGTAGGCGTGCCAGCTAATTTAGCAAATGGGCCTATATCTGCCTCGCCACCCTTCGCAGGATCGGTAGATGTGGCATCGTTGTCTTCGCCGGCAACGAAGCTATTGAACTTGGCCCACATTGAGCCAGAAACCTTCTCCATGCTGGGCCTTGAAATCCATGACGAGCCACCGTCGCTAGTCGACTGCTTCAACCTTGCTGAAAGCTCGTCGACTCCACAGTACAGCTGCTGGTTATGATAGGGCGAGGATTTGGTTGTCGCTTTCACAGTTGCTGCAATGGCATCACAGTACTGCTGAGCTTCTGTCTTTTGGCCACGATCGGCGAGACACCAAGCATATACCAACTTGTAAGCCAAGAGATGACAGAGCGGTGGCTTTGGGGAAGCCGAGAGGACGGAATTGGCATAGTCATAGGCCTCAGTGAGCAATATACAGTCTTCGTCCTGCAGTGCAGAGGTGGAAGATCGCTGATGATCGGCTCCCAAGAGGACAATACTCGTTTGAGGATCATCAACACCGCCGAACACTGCAGCGCGTGAGAAAAGAAAGCAAATGTGCGCAGCCTCTACGCGGCCGTAGCTCGAGAGCAGCCGTCCAAGGGCCAGGAGAGCTTGGTGATCTTCCGCACTGCGGTTGCTTAGTACGAGGCCGAGCGTCTCGCGCCAACTTTCTAGACCTTCGAGGGCGTTTCTGGCAGAACCATGTCCGTCCACTTTACTAACCATTTGCAAGCCAGCCCTTGCTGATGGCGGCACCAGCTCATCAACGCTCTCCTCGACATTGCCGGCAAAAATCTCGTACAGAGCCGCCAAGGATTCGGTGCTTCCGGAAGTCGATCTGACTTCACGTCTGACGAATTCTTGAACGACCTGCTTCCAGACCGAACGATCCATAGTCGACGCTAAAAGCATCGCGTGACCCCACAAGCGACTATCCACTGCCGCCCAGACGGCCTTTTCGCGCTCCCCAAGTAGAAGATTGTTACGGAGGGTGCCAATAGCTTGAGGATTGGCTGCATCCGGGCGAGAAGGCGCATCGGCGGGCTGAGAACTGTTGATAGACTGGAAGCCTGTGTCGTAGCTGTCGTCTGTCTCGTTGCTTTGTAGATGTGGGAGAATGATACTACGCAGGGATTTCTGGACCTCAGGTGAGCCTTCGAGGGCACCATCGTGTTCAACCATGGCGCGAACAACTTTCCACAATAGAACCTTCTCATCGTAGCGCTTATGGCCATCAGGAAAGAGTCGAGCACTCCCCGGGATACCAACATTTTCGAATGCGGCTATCTTGCTTGAAAGCCAAGCAAGCAAATCCTTCTTCTTGGATTTGGACTTGAGGGGACCTGGGTGGCGTACAATGCTTTCCGGGGGCGGGATCCAGTCGTTGAGCTGGCATGTTTTCACCTCTCCAGGACTTGGTTTGATTCTAGGGGCCATTTGCCCAGCAGCGTATCGAGGAATATGCTTGGGGAAACATGATAAAACAGTGCCACCAAAGCCGAATTTGACTATAGGCGCCCCCTTCCAGCGTTCGAGAGGGTCATACTGCTGATCATCCGTTGGAGGAATGAAGTCCAATTGCTGAGAGGCAGCACGGTTATGTATCGAACCTTGGACTGGTGCATAAGGATTCACGGATTTGGTAGGTGAGCCAGAGCCATGGGCTGAGGCAGGTCTTTGTAAAGGGTCAACTGATGGCACAGATAATCGAGGGCCAAGTGTTTGCTGGCCCGGTGATTGTGTCATTGATCTACGCGGAGGCATGAAGGGGCGCTCATCAACAACGGGCGCAGGGACTGGCGGGGCGTTGACTTGGCCGGCTGGGGTAATGCGTTGAGCGAATTCGTTAACATATTCGGGCGGAGCATACTGATTTCTTGGGGGAGACATCGGCTGCATGCTTGCGTTCTGTTCGCTTAGATCAACACCGGTAATTGTGGCTTCAATAGCAGTTTCGCCAGGTGTGAACAGCGGGTTAACGGCGGACTCAGGATGAGATTGCACATCGATGATAGGAGGGAGTGCCGAATAATCTAAGGACGGTCGCTTTTCCAACTCTTCCTGAGGACGATAGGAGACCTTCTCATGATGAGCCAGAGGGCTTGATGTACGGGGTTGGAATGGAAGGGTGACAGCTTGACCAGGGTGGCTAGGAGCCTGAGAAGCATAGCGGTTGCGGGGAGGCGGGGGAGCACCAGATGGTGGAGGAGCTGGAGAGTATCTCGGGGAGGCTGGTGGCTTGATTCCATTCTGCAAATTCGGTGGCTTCGGCGAATATCTCGATGCACCAGGAGCTGCAGATGCGCCGCCAGGAGCACTTGGGCTCAACAAACTCGCATAGGGGTCTATTCTTTCAGGTTGTTGTAATTGAGGCTGGGGCTGAGAGTCGCCGGTTGGCTGAGGAGCGGGTATAGCGCTAGCATACGGATTAACCGGTGGCGGAGGCGCCGAGTACGATGGCGCTGCTGGCACCGCATTGGGAGCAGGTGTGTATCGGCCCGTGCTTGCCGGCCGAGAAGGTGCGCGAGGCGGCGGTAAAGGAAGTTCTTCAAAAAAGTTCTTTGGTGCAGGTGCAGTAGCAGTCGATGTCACGCCGACCGGAGGTGTAGGCATAGAAGATGCTGAAACCGGCGCCTTCGGAGGAGGTACTGGAAGGCTGTTGCTTCGCGGCGGCGGCGGCGGGACGCCCGGTTGCGAAACGACTGCTCGGTTGGTAATGACCGGTCGACGAGGGCGCGTAAGGTCCTCAGGAAGATCATAAGGTGACCTATAACCCTCCTTGGCACGTTCGGCGAAACTCTCGGCTTTCTTTGTTGCTTCAGTCGGGCGGGGTGGCTGGGCAAAATAGCCAGCCCCGGGGCTCATTGCGGGGATTCCCTGGAGCAGATCCGATGTAGATGGCTGGTGTGGGACATAAGACCTTTCCTGCACTCTGGGTCGGACCGCGTTGTTTGGTGGGGCAAGGGGACTGGGCCCCGCTTGAGCAACCGGAGCAGGGTTCCCAAGTAATTCTTCGAAACTTGGCTCCTTAGTTCCTCCAGCAGATTCGTCGTCAAAAAGCAGGTCATCATCGTCGTCCAACTCTGCTTGCCATCGGGCTGCGAGGTCTTCTTCCGACGGTAAACCGTCGGCCTCTTCATCGGAGAGCTCTGCCTGCCAGCGCGCTGCCAGATTATCGTCGGACGAGCTCTTTTCCATGTTGTCCTGTGAGCCTGCTGCAGCCAATGCCTTCTCAAATTCATCCTCACTCGGATCAGCGGGATTGACAGGGAATGGGGAACCAGCTGCAGCCAAAGCGCTCTCGAACTCTTGCTCGTTTGCATCTGCAGCGTTGGCTGGAACTTGCGTACCAGCTGCTGTCAAGGCGCTCTGGAACTCCTGTTCGCTTGGATCGGCAGCACTGACTGGAAATTGAGAGCCGGCTGCTGCCAAAGCACTCTCGAATTCCTGCTCGCTAGGATCAACAGTATCCACCGGAGCCTGCGAGCCGGCTGCTGCCAAAACATTTTCAAACTCCTGCTCGCTTGGATCAACAGTAACGACTGGAACGTGCGAACCGGCTGCTGCCAAAGCGCTCTCAAGTTCCTGCCCGCTTGGATCAGTAATCTCGTTCAGAGACGCATCTAAGCCCGTTGCGGCCGGAGCACTGTCATGGTCCTGCTCGCTCGGCTCCTCAGCATTGTTCGTTGGCTCCTCCGATACACCCAATGAATCCAACACTTGAGACGTGCTCTTTCGAGTGAGATGAACTTCAGGACTTTGCTCAGAAGCTGAGTCTGGCACGGATTTGAAGAAATTATCTTCCTCATCTCCGCCGGCCTTGAATACTTTATTGATTCGGCTTTCCACCGTCTCTGGAGGCTCAATTAGAGAATCAATGCCCCTACTCAGCAACGGAACGCCTTCCTCAAATCTCGTCTCTGTTTCGGGCGAGAAGTATATGGGCTTTGTTTGCGTCTTGAGCTGATTGAAGAAATCATCGCCGTCTTGTTCCTCCTGAGCAGGGCTTCCCCAGAGATCGTGACTGCTCTGGATCTCTCCATTGGGATTCGGGAGCTCGTCTCCCCGGAATGTGCCGGTGGGACCGGTGGGAGTGATATTGCCTGACTCTGCCAAGTCACTAGCAATTTCCACAGGTCTTTGCACTTCTTCATCCCCATTCGGCACCGGTTCAGCGCCTCCGACATGTTCCCCGGTAGCGGTAGAATTCTCCGCTGTGTCTCCGTGTATACTGACCGGCTCCTCCGACGGTTCGATAATCTCTTTATTAGCCGTTGACAGTCCTTCGGGTGTGTCGTGTACCTGTGGCTCTGTGACCACTTCGTCCTGAACTGGCGCTTGTTCGCGATTCGCGGGAGACCCGGGAACGCTCACATCGGGCGCAGTTGCTTCTTGGGTATTGTTGGCATAATTCGATGGCGAAGAAAGCACGTCACCAAAAGAGACATCGTGAGGGGTCTCCATTGGTGAGCCAAGAGGGATGCTAGTGGCTTCGATCGCGGTGTCGATCTCGAGTTCGGTGGGTGTCGTCACAGGAGGGACGTCGTCTTCCGACCTGAAAGCCGGATTCCACACGGCCGCTGCATTTGTGTGTGCCATGATGGATTTTGCTAATGCTCAAAGACTTGAAAGTCAAAAGCGAATGTGAGTCCCTACCTTCACTCTTCCCAAGGCCAGGGGGGTGAACATACCTCGATGGCTGACAAGCAGATTAGTATAATAAGGGTCGTCAGATATTAAGCGGCATGGAACATGAATCGGGGAGAAGAAAGGAAATAAGAAAGAGAGCATGCAATTGCATAGACATTACAAAAGATAAGGAGACAATGGAATCATGACTGCATGTTCAGGTGGCTGCGTAGTCCTTTCTCGAGTCCCGTCCGGACAGCTGCGGCCGTTCTGGATTGCTTATGATGATAGCAATTGAACCTCCGTCCTTGGGACGCGCCCATCATCCGGGGCGGATCATTGTTCTGCCGCGCGGAAGTGCCACCTAACCTGTTTCTTGGGTTCACGTGCTCTCATGCCTGTCTCATGCTGTTTATGCTACGCCGCGACCAGTGATACACTTAACTTACTACTTTTCATGCAGTAGTAGGTCTGTGTAATAAGGACAACTATACACCGACAGGCGTAATACACAATACGAAGGCGAGGTATGCTTTCAATTTTGGTCTTACTTTCTACAGTCTCAATGTTTTGTATTTACCTTTGAAAAGGCTACATAAATAATTGTATGTTGTGGAGTTGTGGAGCTTCATCCGGGAGAAGTGGTAACCACACATTTATATAGTTTTTTCAACGGAGCAAAGGGGAGCGAGGGCAAGCTTCTGCAATGCTTGCAAGAAAGTTTACATTTAGTGAGTTATCACTTTGATATGGGGATTACAGCAGCTATAGACAAACTAAAAATTGTTCACAAGCCTATGCAATAATTAGTTGGAGAGGTACATAGTTGACAATATACATATATCTTCTTCTCAATAGGTGCCTTTTCTTACGAGTACGAGCAGTGGAGAAGACAAGGACTGTACATCTACAATGGTAGAATGACAACATCGCTCCTGCTAATATCTCAATAATGGTTGTACAAGAGATTGTCCTTGTGTGAATCACAGATATAGGACTGCATCGTTCCCATTGCATACAAAGAAAGTATAAAGTGAATAATGACATCGATGTTTCAACATCTGGTGTTGATAAGCCACACCCGCGCGTGGAGTCGGCGACTCGGCACGTCGTCATGTGATCGGGCCGCTCTCCGCCTGCCATCACAGCCTCTCGACTCTTTAGGCCACCATAATTGTTTAAGCTAGCCCCCAAGAACAGTTCTTTCACCCGATGGTCAACCGGGGCGATCTCAGGAGTGGCCTAAAGCACTGAAATAATCTCCCCGACCACCCTGAATTCGCTTTCGCAATTGTGTATACCCTATCCACCTTTGGCGCGCATCCGCATCCGCAGTCGCAATCGCGGCCAAACTTAACACAGCCCGCCCCCCCCTCCAAGCCCCGACAACCGCGATGCTTTGTTCGGGACAACCTGAATGCGATTTACTGTGACATGAGAACATTATTGAACTCACAGCAGCTTCTGAAACCTTCTCTCGCATGGAACGCCATCATTAATCTTTCCCTGCCCTGCCTGTCATGCCTTCATTATCCGAGTATCCCCATTCTTACGGCCGGTCCAGCATCGCAGGCGATTCTGGCTCGGATGACGATCTCGACCTAGAGGAGCTCGACCCAAGCACAACACATCTTTACGGTGCACATCGTTTATCGAGGGAAGAAGACAATCAACAAAGGAGTCGTGGTCCGGGCATAGCGCTGCGGAACCTCCGCGTCGGAGTTGGGAACCGGTGGAAGCGAACCACCTCTGGAACACATGGAGGACGGTTGGAGGATACAGAGGGGTTGCTCGAGGACCAGGATCGCGATGACGACGGACTCAGAAGGTCGCACGCCAGTTCGCGCACATACACCGACGATGATGCCCCGCTGCTTCACGCACGCCGGCGTAGCTCTGCTCGTTCTCTCAGGGATGTGGAGCGGTTGTCGCAGAAGGGCCCACGGCGATGGATTCCAGGTCTCAAGGTTGCAGGCGCTTGGTTCGGCTCCTCTCACCCTCCAGCAGCAGAGGATCTGAATCCGACCGAGACCAAGCCTCCGCGCGATGTGTTCGTCGGGCAAACGCAGCGGTTAAAATACCCACCAAACATTGTATCGAACGCCAAATACACCCTATGGAGCTTCCTGCCGCGTACTCTTTACAACGAATTCTCCTTCTTCTTCAACATATATTTCCTCCTCGTCGCCTTGTCACAGATCCTGCCTGTGCTCCGAATCGGTTACATGTCTTCATATATCGCACCTCTTGCTTTCGTCGTTTCCATCTCGCTCGGTAAGGAAGCTTTGGATGATATTGGTCGCCGGCGCAGAGATGCTGAAGCGAATGCGGAGGAGTTTACTGTCTTGAGTCTCAGTGGGCCGGCAGGTGTTTTAGAGGTGACGAAGAGATCAAGGGACCTGAAAGTCGGCGATGTCCTGAAGGTTCGCAAGAATCAACGCTTGCCTGCAGACGTAGTGATTCTCCAGAGTCTCTCTAATGACACTGCTGCTCGACGAAGCTCCGCCGTGGAACGACCTTCGAACCTGATTCCGGACGATCATGGAGATGAACCCAGCACAAGCGACGTGACAAAGGAAGCTAACAACTCCTCGGCCTGTGACACGTTCATACGTACGGATCAATTGGATGGAGAAACTGACTGGAAATTACGTCTGCCGTCCCCCCTGTCTCAAAGTCTAGCCCTTCGCAACTTTACCCGACTTAAAATCACCGCAAGCGCACCAGATAGGCGGGTTAACGAGTTTGTCGGTACCATCGAGCTGGGACCGTCCTCTTACGACCCGCACGTGGACAAATCCAACCATGAGCGAGACCAGGACGATCAAGAGTCCCAGCCAAACTCCGCCCCTTTGACGATTGACAACACCGCATGGGCCAATACCGTTCTTGCATCTAATACTATTACTTACGCTGCTATCATCTATACGGGGTCGCAAACGCGCGCTGCGCTGTCAACCTCTCCGTCACGATCGAAGGTTGGACTACTGGAATATGAGATCAACAACTTGACTAAGATTCTGTGCATTTTGACCCTTGCTCTTTCAATTGTTCTAGTTGCATTGGAAGGGTTTCAACCGACCAATGACAAGGTCTGGTATGTCGCTATCATGATTTATCTGATCTTGTTCTCGACGATCATCCCGATGAGTTTGCGGGTCAACTTGGACATGGCGAAGTCGGTTTATGGCCGATTCATTGAAAAGGACAAGGATATTCCTGGGACTGTCGTAAGGACAAGCACTATCCCCGAAGACCTGGGTAGAATCGAATACCTCCTTTCCGACAAGACAGGTACCCTGACGCAAAATGGTATGTCACCTTGTGCTATGACTAGGGACAGATCGCTGACTCTATCCAGAAATGGAGCTCAAGAAAATCCATGTGGGCACCGTCTCGTACGCCAATGAAGCGATGGAGGAGGTGACTTCCTACATCAAGCAAAGTTTCTCAGGAGATTTCCTCACCACGCCATCGGCCGTGTTTGGAACGCAAGTGGGCTCCGGGGCGGCTCCCCGCACGCGGAGGGAGATAGGCTCGCGCGTTCGAGATATCGTCCTAGCTCTTGCGCTTTGCCACAATGTTACCCCCACTACCGACGAAGAGGACGGTGTCCAGGTTACCAATTACCAGGCATCGTCGCCCGACGAGATTGCCATTGTTCGGTACACGGAGGATGTCGGTCTGAAACTGGCCTACCGCGATCGACAGACCATGGTTCTCGAGTCTACCCACACCGGCAACGTTGTTGTGCGGGCTCGGATCCTCGAATTGTTTCCGTTCACGTCCGAAAGCAAGCGGATGGGAATCATCGTTCAATTCGAGACCGATGAAAGCATCTTGGACTCATCCAAGAACGAAAACGAGATCTGGTTTTATCAGAAGGGTGCGGACACCGTCATGACCACGATTGTCGCTGCCAACGATTGGCTTGATGAAGAAACTGCCAATATGGCTCGTGAGGGCCTGCGGACTCTGGTGGTCGGAAGGAGGCGACTGTCCGAGCAACAGTACGCAGAATTCACTACAAAGTACAGACAAGCGTCGCTGGCCCTACAAGGAAGAGATGTAGGTATGGCCAAGGTGATTGGCGAATACCTGGAACGGGATCTAGAGCTTCTCGGGGTGACTGGTGTGGAGGACCGTCTCCAGAGGGACGTCAAGCCCTCCTTGGAGCTTCTCCGCAACGCTGGAGTGAAGATTTGGATGTTGACAGGAGACAAGGTCGAAACCGCACGTTGCGTCGCGATTTCCGCCAAATTAGTCGCTCGTGGACAGTATATCCACACAGTTGCCAAAGTCAAAGATAAGTCTACGGCTCAAGAAGCCTTAGACTTTCTGCGCAACAAGACCGACTGTTGCCTCCTCATTGACGGCGAATCCCTTGCTCTCATGCTAAGCCAGTTTCGCTCATCCTTCATCTCTGTCGCCGTGCTTCTCCCCGCCGTTATCGCTTGCCGCTGCTCCCCAACTCAGAAGGCCGAGGTCGCCGACCTCATCCGCCACTACACTAAGAAGCGTGTCTGCTGCATTGGTGACGGTGGTAATGATGTCTCCATGATCCAAGCTGCGGACGTGGGTATCGGTATTGTGGGCAAAGAAGGCCGACAGGCCTCTCTTGCTGCGGATTTCAGCATCACGCAGTTCCACCACCTCACTAAGCTTCTGGTCTGGCACGGGCGCAACTCGTATAAACGATCCGCCAAGCTGGCGCAGTTCATCATGCACCGTGGTATCATTATCAGCGCCTGCCAGACCATGTATAGCATTGCCAGCCATTTTGATCCCAAGGGCCTGTTTATCAACTGGCTCATGGTGGGGTATGCGACGATTTACACCAGCGGGCCAGTTTTCTCACTCGTCTTCGACCGGGATGTCGACGAAGAACTGGCCAACCTCTACCCGGAATTATATAAAGAACTCAAAACGGGGCGCAGCCTCAGCTACCGCTCCTTCTTCACCTGGGTCTTTGTATCCGTCTTTCAAGGGGCGGTGATTCAGGGCTTGTCCCAGATCCTCCTGGACACGATCACGGGCCCTCGTCTCATCAGCGTCTCCTTCACCGCGCTGGTCATCAACGAACTCCTCATGGTTGCCATCGCCATCACCACATGGCACCCTTTCATGATCTTCTCGATCATCGGCACCGCCCTGGTCTACGCCGCGAGCGTCCCCTTCCTTGGCGACTACTTCGATCTCGCGTACATCATCACCCTGGATTGGCTCTGGCGCGTCGTCGCTGTTGTTGCCGTGGCGGTCGTGCCTGTCTGGGCCGGGAAACTGATCATGCGGTCCTGGAGTCCGCCCAGTTACCGGAAAGTTCGGGGGTGATTGGCCCATATTCATCCTCTCAACCTGACTCTTTCCCTCTGCCCGGTCACACCTTGTGAATTGTATAGGTAGCTTGCTTACGGACCGTTGTCACCAGCGATCAATCAATCACTACACTTAATCTCAAGTCCAATGGGCTGCTTAGCTAGCACACTGCGGTCCATAGACACACTCCGAAATGACACACTACTACATCCCAAGCTTAAATATGCACCCGAAGGCCATTCTCCTCGTAGAAACTAAGTGCAGCACAATCCACCAGTCACACGCTGCTTCGATTACAGACTAAGGATCCATAGTATACCCATTCACTCCGCGCCACGCACAACTAGCCAGTGGAGGCGGCACGGGAGTGACAACGTAGCAGTACTATAAAAGCACCTGCCCCGGCTCCCATCACACCTACAGTACCTGCCTTCCCCCTCCCCAAATCCCTGGCAGTCACCATGCACCCCACCCCCAACAACCCCGACTCCCTCAAACTCACCCCTTCAAATCCCAAACCCTAATACTCCACTCCGCCACCGCCCTCAAATACGCAACAGTCACCCAATGGAAAGGCCCCCCTAACCACCCAGTCCTAAGTCCTACCTCACCCGCAAACAAGCACTCCTTACCCAGACCCCTCGCCGCCAATAAGGGAGCAATAGAAAGCAATAGAAGCAATAGGGAGCAATAGGAAGCAGTATGGAGTAATAGGGAGCGGCAGAAGAAATATAAGTAATATCTGGAGCAATAGAGAGCAATATAAGCGACAGGGAGCAACAGAAAGAAGCAAAAAAACCCTGCGTGGCTGAACAAATATGGCGTTTCATTCTCTTATACTATAAGTTAAAAAAACACTTCGGGCCGAACTTTGCCTACCCCTCTATTTTTCTCGACCTGCTGCAAATCTTTATAAAAGATGAAACCCAAATAGTAGCCCTAGAAAAGTACGAAACTATAAGCTTATAAGAAGAACAAAATACTTAATAATTTATTATAAATAAAATCTTATCACGACTTCTTTCCAAGTACGACTTCCTAATATAACCACTAAAAAAGTCCTAGTCTGTATTCTGCTAAATCCTACTGCTTGCTCCGCTAATTATTGTAGGTCGAGCGATAGAAACCTCTCCCAGTTGATTTAAATTATTTTAATAACTGTATTCTCCACCCTATTAATTATATCGTATAGAAGAATTACGAGCGGAAGTTATATTGCTTCGAATATGAGGAGATAATATTTTACAATAAGAACGGGGCTACGATATGGACAACTACAGATAGCGGATTTATAGACAGTCTACTAAAGCAGATCTCAGTTAAGATTAAGAGAGGAAAACACCGGTTCGTATAATATAATTAGCTATTAAATGCATAAAGCTTGGTAGCTATAAATATCTTATAGGACCATCCGACACATAAAGTAATAGTTGTTTTATAAAGCCGACTGCGCGTTAAATCTAAGCTTATACAGTCCGTTGTTCTGAGGACAAAATTCTTGATTTTTTATGTCTGTAGTTGGCTTTCTTTAATATCTTAATTTAAAGAAGATCTAAAGATAATAGGGATTGATGATATTAATGCGCCTCGAAATGTGAAGTAAGTATTATTATTTAAATATATTAATTACAAACTTGCTTTAAGCTTTCTGCTAAGTCCTCTTATATATTTCTGTAATTAATGGCTCCCTGGCTAATTGGGAAGACTCTACGTTTGTTATCTCAGTTTTATATACAGTTAAAAATCTTTTTTATGCTGTGGGGAACAGAGCCTTAACAATTAAATTATAAAAACCGATATCTAATTGTACAGTTGTGTTTTAATAATCATACCGAAAGAAGCTCATACGTATGTATTATATTAATATTAAGAGTTGGTTTTTCTTTTTATATATCTGTTTTGGAGAATTTTCGAATACTTCGTATAGATTCTTACTTAGAAAATAACGGGCTCTAGTTATATCGGCTGTGCTATAGAATTATATCCCATCTGATTTAGTATTCATTTTTGGCTTTGGTAAAGGTACTATAATATTACGTCAGCAGGAAACTTATTTAAAAGAACACAGAATTACCCGAGGTGGAAAGCAAGTCCAGAATGTTTTTAAATGTAGTAGTTTAATAAACACCAACTCTCTTTGCTATAATTTCGAGGTTATTTAGAACTTTGCTATTTAATACTGCTGATTTGCAGCTCTGTAAATTTTTCCGAACGTTGCTTGTTTTTCAGCTCCGGTATGAGTTAGAAGACACAGCTATAATAAATAATAAAAAGATGCTGGAGAATACTTTAAGAATTTTTAAATAAATCCGCCGGGCTCGTTTCAACCGATTGTGTAAATTATATTCTTTTTTTGGTCGGGCTTTTTTTATACGCTTAAGACGATCGGGAGGCCTGTAGATTAGTGTGAGATGTTTTTTGACTAGTAAGATATAGTCGTTAAAGACTGATTTGACTCGATTTAATTGTTCGAATATTTCGTATATATGTTTTATTATATTTATCTTGAATTTATTCAAACGGCTCCAGTTTTTAGTGCGGGCGAATTTATAGTGAGGCTGTAATGGATGAAGAAGTGGAGTAATGGGGAAGCAGTAGGGAGCAGTAGGGAGCAGTAGGGAGCAGTAGGGAGCAGTGAGGTTTAAGTACTATAAGAACTCAGCTAGCTTGTATCTGTTTTGCCCCACTTCTGACGGAAAGGTCACAGGAATTATGGATCGAGAATGTTTATATTATTTGCTATGTTAGGAAAGAAGCACGTGACTTAGTTGTACTGTATAATTAGAATAATTTTTAGATCGGAACCTATTCACCAATGCGAGCTTAATTACTTGGCTTTATTATGCGAAACGAGATAATTAAGGATTTTGATTTTAGTGGTTGATGATATCTAATATAGTAGAGTTTTCGGCCTTTGAGTATAAATATAGTTGTAATAAAAATAAAGCATATTCCACTTAACTATAGATAAATCGAGATGTTATCTTTTTTAGTAAGCAAACCGGAAGATCTCGACTACTAACTGCTATCTGTAGAATCCACCTTATCTGCTTCAATCTGCCTATCCATTCTTCTTAATTAGAGCTTTAAGCTGAAGTTACCATTACTCAGATTATTAATATTTCCTGCGAATTTAAACATATGTTCTATATCCTCTTTTAGCTGCTGGTTATTTGTAAATCTGATAAGACAGGGCTCGGCGTGGTAATTATTTATTTTATACATTGCAAGCTTCTTGCTACTTTTTATTGTATGTATATAATATATAAAACTGTGAACAACTGATCCAGGCGTATTGATTAAGGCTGGATACTAATTCTATATCTTACAGTTATAGCTGAGTATATAAATAGGTTGAAGTTTAGGCTTCTCGTTTAAACTAAAGACTTCAGTAAGCATCGAAGGGTCGATAAGTATGCTGTAGAAGAAGTATAGGCCAGTAGGTGCTGTAAGTAGATTAATAAAAGGCAAATTTTTCGGTGCTTGGTAGAAGTAATTGGAAGGAGCGTTTCTTAATTTTAGGACATATGGAGATATCTTCAACTTCAGGTTTTCGGGTGGCGGGGGAGATGGAGGTGGCGGCGGGTAGTTATTTTCTTTTGTTTAAAAAGTTATAGTATTAAAGAGAATAATATAGGTTATAAGCTACTTCCGATGCTGGCGGATATTAGTAGATTTAGATATACTCTAAGCACCTACTGGCATGTGATTAGCTTGTCGACCGGCTACAGAGTTTAATTGTAATTTACTGGAGTGTTTTTTTCGGCGCTCTTTCTTCTTTGCAATAAGACTTTTCTTTTTTTATTTTAGATTTTGAGGTCTTTCTCAGGTCGGCTGACATGGCCTTTTTATCTACTCCTACTAATTAAAATTACGGCCGTAGTACAGCCTACTTTTTTAAATACTTAACCAAAACAAGCGTAAGTATAGCAAATAGCCTGCATTCTTTCTAACTTTCTGCGCTATAATTTTTACTCGATGATTTAGTTTTATTTGTAACGATTATGTGAAAGTACTGTAAGTTGATGTATATTATTTTATTCTTTAATAATTGTGCTGCTTTTTATTATATAAATAACTCCGGCAGTTCTGAATATCTTAGAATGTAATATATTCTCTATCTTTTCGGATCTATCTTTTCGGATCTATCTTTTCGGTTTTTCTTATCAGATGAGATTCGAAGCTGGATTTCATTAAGATAAGTAACAAAGAGACTATAAAGGTATTAAAATAGTAGGATTAATTATTTTTTATAGAGATATAGGAGGCAATCAAAGACTACAGTATAATAATACTGGTATTATACTGCTGTAAAAGTGGTGATTTTATAATATTCCGAATAATATTAAAATATAGTAAGTTAAGCGTGCTAATGCCGTTGCGAATAAAAAATATTATCGTCAAAATAATATAAATATTTAAAGAATTTTTTCAATGTCTTAAGCCACTTTATTAAAGTTATTAAACAGAAAATAATCTCGAATACTGATAATATTTTTAGGAGTCTCAGCCGCTTCAAGCATTCTGGTCTTTATATTATAAGCTATTCCTTTAATAGTATTATAATTATTATTTAAAACCCAATTTAGAATATTAATCTTTAAGATATTTCTTATTTCTTCGATCGCAATATCAGTTTCTTTTTGGCGAGCATCTAAGTCCAGTGTTTTTTAGATAGTCTTTTTTAAATAATTTATTGGAGTAACTGAACAAGCACTCTGAATTTGCTTTATATTGGTGGTCTGCGCAATTATTAACTAATTCTGTATAGAATAAATAAGTTCTGCTTGCAGCGATATTGAGTCTTCTTTCTAAAATATACCAGTATTTTTAAATAGCTGTTGACGAAGAATGACAGACTGGTCGAAGATGGCGTTATAATAATTTTTATTTAGTCTTTTAGTAAATACAGTATAAAGAAAATATACCAGCTTTTTCTATTGAATCTCTGATAAAAATACTTACTCGGATGAAGATAAAGAGTTATAATTTAATGGAAGTATAAGCTCGGGCTGTTTCAGCATCTCCGATTCGGGATTGTTATAATTCTGAAAATGAATTAATATGCCCGTAATAATATTTAAAGGTAAAATAGAACAATACTGCCAATCTATAAGTTTAATAATATTATTTGTTTTAGATATAAGAATATTGTTTGGCTGAAGATTAGGGTGGTATATAACAGATCGATTTAAAGTTAAG